GATAGTGACGGCTTCCTCACCACAGGAGACATCGGATACGTCGATAGCTCCGGATATACTTTGTCACTGATCGCAAGAAGGAGCTCATCAAGTACAATGGCTTCCAGGTTGCCGCCCGCGAGCTCGAAGGACTCTTGCTTGACCACCCGGCCGTTTTGGATGCAGCGGTCATTGGCATACCCGATGCCAAGCTGGCGACGGAAATACCCAAGGCATTCGTCGTGGTTCGTCCAGAGCACAGTAAGCCTGGGATTGCAATGGACGTGAGAGAGTGGGTCGACGACAGGGTTGCATATTACAAGAAGCTGCGTGGTGGTGTTGCCATCGTCAAAGAGATTCCAAAGTCAGTCTCCGGAAAGATTCTGCGTCGGGTGCTGCGCGAGCGCGAGGCGGCAAAGCGTAGCCAGCAGCTCAAGCCCAAGCTCTAGCAGCTATTTATGAGCATTTATAATGGTAGTTTATTGCTAAGCGTCCTCATTGCGTATGGTCTCGACAATGGCAGTTTGCCAGCGAGCAAGACGGTCCGGCAACTTAACAGCGGACTGGCGACCCGGAAATTCATAATCTCTTGCAGCATGTTGCGCATCAGCACCAAACAAGAGCTGTCTTTGCAAAGCACTTGCCGTCGATCCACCGGTTGATGGCAGCAGCTTCGCCTTGGGCCAGTAGGCCAGCGATCGGGCAAACAGAGCGACGCCAGCTAGGTTAACCCTTGTCGACATGTTGGCGAATGTTGCATCGCCGGATCCGGATAGGTTGGCGGCAACGATTGCATTCCGGGACATTAGCGGGTGGTCGGGGGAGGCATTGACTGAGGAGCGGTCGATGACGACAGGCCGTGTAGAGACGCGCCCGCGTTCCTCGATCTGAATCGCATGGCCAACACCACGCACCTTCCTGGCAACAGCGACTTGGGCAATTTCAAACCCGTGTCCAGTGCAGCTGGCATCAATGTGGTCGAACCGGCGATGATGGCAGCATAGATGATGTTGACGTTTGTGCCATTCACGTTGGTATTCGCAGGTGGTTCAGTGAACCCGCCCCTGAATCCGGGAACATCGCCGGCCCTGGGCCGGATCAAATGGCTCAATGGCACGTGTTTGTTGTGCTCGCTGCGTGGATTCGGACCAGGTTGAGATCATGCAGCATGCGGAGGTACTGCTCGCGGTAGTCTTCGAGCGCATCCATAGCATCCCTGTTGATCCAGTTCTTCTTGCAAAAGTCATGCAGCTGCCGACGAGTTCTGCCTGGAGCGGACGCAGCCTTTCGCCAGTCCTCATACGCAGACAGCAGCACCAGCAGATCAGACGCCTGCCTGTCATCCGCGTATGCAAGCCATTTGTACTTTCGGTATTTGGCGATGTGCAGCACTGGCTGAGACGCGCTCGTCAGGGTCGAATGGGCGAATGAGCATGGGCTTGCCGAGCGACATAGCTGCAGCAAGGGTGAGCACGGGGTCCATACAGTTGAGCATCGTTCCAACAATTAGCATCTTGCCAATGGACAGGTCAACGGGCAAATAAGCAGAGATGCCTGCCCAATGGGCGTCAGCTCTTCAGCCTCATCGAGGGCACCTGCTTCCTTGAGCTCGTGTATAGCCTGTGCTACTGACGACTGCAGTGGCGGATCGATGGCTTCAGCGAGGAACCCGAGATATCGTTGAATCCGTGCATCTTCACCATCATAGAAATCCCCGATCAGTGGCAGACGATGCATCTCGGGGGGCCTCCATACTCTGGCATAAGCGCGTGCTGCTTGCCTGCTGAACAGGCAGAGCGTCAGCCCCTTTTGCACACGGCCTGCACGCCCGCTGCCGCTGTTTGACATTTGGCCTTGCTGACTGTGGCAGTCTCGATTCTGGTCATCCGCCGCTTCTTGTCCCAGATTGCCTGGTTGGCAACACCGCGAGTCAATCACAATAGTGACATCCGGGATGGTGATGCCGGTTTCTGCGATGTTGGTGGCGAGCACTACCTTTGCGCCTGCCCTCGGGGAAGATTTCAAACGCAACATCTGTATACGTCTTGGTCGTTCCAGGGCAGGTCTCGTTGGACAGCGCAGAGTGCAAGGGGAACGATGCTGGCGATATGGGTTGATGGAGCTGTCGCTGCCTAGCATTCCGTGCAGCTTGCGGATCTCGAAGATTCCAGGCAGGAATACCAGGATGGCGCCCTCAGAAACATCAGCTTGGCGCACATAGCCTGGAACACATCATCAGCGCCGCTGCAGATGCAGCGGATCAGGTGGTGGATCAGCTCCAAGTTGACGACATCTGTGCGCATTTTTGATACTGGTCGACCACGCTGCCACCGAGACATACGAGGGGTCCTCCAGCGATTGCTCTCGGTTATAGTCGCTGCTACTGGCAAACGATACGCGAGTCTCATCGAACGACACATCCGCATCATGCCTCGCCAAGTTTCCGCCGCGCGTAGTTACGTTGAACGAAAACGACTGGTTGTTCTGGTCCACATATTTGGGCCTCTCAGCGAAGAAACTCTGACTATCAAGCACATATCCAGACATCTGGATGACGTTCTCCAGATACATGTTGGTGACAGGGAATGTTCGGCCAGGGATGTCGACCACCGGGCAGCTGTCAAAGTAGTAGGTGAAGATGCTGGTGTCGATGGTTGCACTCATCAAGATGACCTTTAGATCAGGCCGCCTGGCCAACAGCCGACGCAAGACGATTAGCAGGTAGTCAAGCTCCAGAGTGCGTTCCTGCACCTCGTCACAGATCACACAGCTGATACCTGCTAGCTTTGGATTCTCAACCAGCATGCGCAACAGCACGCCCGTGGTGCAGAATACAAGCGGGTTCTCGTCAACTGCACGCGCGTTAAGTCGCACCTGGAATCCGACCAGCGAATCTTTGGTTCCAAGCTGCCCGTCCCCAACTTCCAGAGAGACGCGCTGAGAGATAGATGTAGCAGATATCCGGCGCGGCTGCGTACACAAGATACGCCCACCTTTGTACTTTGCCGACAGTAGCAGCCGCAGGGCAATCTGCGGCACCTGGGTGGTCTTGCCGCAGCCCGTGGCTCCACGGATTACACTGTCTGTGAGCCAGCCAATGCGTCAGCTATGGTTTGCATGTACTGGCAGGCCGGCAGCGCTGCCTGGGTCGCTGCATACTTGGACTTCCACTTGTCGGTACTCTGGCGCTCCGGGATGACATTACGTGTCCATCTGGCTGCGCGTATCCGCATGGCTTTCTTAGCATAGTGCTCTTGCTGCGACCAGCTGACCTTCTTCTCGCCGCTCTTTTCGGGTGCATCGGCAGCCAAGCTTGCTGTTGCCATCTCCACATACTGGCTGCGCAGTTGGCGAAGAAAATCGACCCTGCTCGTCGTCTGAGCAGCGGCCTTAGCACGCTCAGCTTCGCGAATATGAGCGTCCCACGTGTCCCACTCGTCCGCAAAGATGGCGGCAGACGGTGGGCAAGCTGTGGAGAGTGTGCCTGCGCGAAGAGATAGACAAGAGCCACATAGTCTTCGGCATCGCGCCGCGTCCTGCCAAAAAACCGCCAGGCATTTCATACACCTGTGACTGGCCGTGGAATGCTATGCATGGCTGTGGATCAAGAGGAATCGCTCTTAGTGCACTAGCATCGGACCGGGATGACGCGATTCCTGGTGTGGACCACGTTACTGTCAGACTCGAAACATAGCCTGACCCACGCAAACCACTGCTGTACTTTATCGCCGCCTGGCTATCAATTCGATGTACAGATTCAGTAACGAGATCTCTCATGCTAGCGCCAGCCCAGCCTGCAGGCGGAGCAGTTTCGACGATTCGCACTGAGCTGGCTGAGGCAATCGGTGCGCTATCATCTGCCTCAGCATCACTATCGCCGAAGCCGAAGCCGAGCCCTATTTCGCTGCCGCTATCACAATTGCTATCTGCGTTATCGCAAAGAAATCAGTCTCTTGCTTCGCCGAGGTATTCACGTTCTTTGCCAGCCTCTTCTCCTCAACAGCAGCATTTGCCTGCATCCTGGCCATGTCGACAGCCTCCCTCTCGACCTCATGGTCCTTGAACGCGCATATTTCATCCAGCAACGCATTGTGGTATTGGGGCCAGATCCGGTCGTATTCTGCTGCAGCCTGCGCTCCATCGAACAGCCAATCGTCCTGGATCTCTGCCAGCGCTTTCGCCTCCTTATTGACCATGTCTGATAGCTTTGCAAGATAGCTGCCATAGCGGTTGCGCTGGTTGTTGGTGCGCAGGTAATCGGCCCACTCCTCCATTGCTGCCCGACGTACACTGCGCCGTGCGTACAATTCCAGGGTCTTCGTCGCTGTCATAGGCATCCGCATCATATTCCATCAAGCCCAAGACTTTCCATCGCACGAGCCAAAAAGTCGTCGCCATCCGCACCACTCGCCTCGGGCTCACTATCTTGCGCGCCAACGATATTGTCAATGGGTGCTGCTGACTTTACCTCAGGCTCAGGCTCAGGCTCAGGCTCAGGCTCAGGCTCAGGCTCAGGCTCAAGTTCTGGTACAGGCTGCGGTAACGGATCTACAGCACTCATCGACTCAGAAACATCATTCCCGCTGTCTGTTTCAACGACCCCTTTGTTGATCTCAAGTTGATCAAACTCCAGCTTGTCTCTCATGTCCACCGGCAGCCGATCTGCCGGTACATGGAAGCACAGCCATGACAGCATATCGAGGATATCACCAGCACCCTTGGTTGCCTGCATCGCCTCACGAACTCGTCCTCGTCGAAGCCATATTTGATCAGCGTCTCGAATACAAAGTTGATCGACCGGGTCCAGTCCTTGGCACCAACCAACTGCTCGACATCGGGAACTGGCAGCTCCAGCTCGCCAGACCGGATCTTGTCGATAATCATTTGCTCACTCTTTTCGCTGAGAACAACAGCAGGCCCCTTTGCAGGCATGCGGTCCTTCAGCTGTAGCTCCTTGTTGACCGTGACTCCGCCTGAGTTTGCGCCAGGACTCAGCGAGACCCAGCCCGCAATATCGCAATTGCTGTCGCTTTGATCCGCCTGTCCCTCCGTTTCAGTGGCTCTGTCGTTTGCCATCATCGCCTCTATGGGCGGCAGGGCCGGGTTCTCTGCAATGATCCCAGCTGCATCACCCGCTGTTGCTGCTGTAGCAGCTTCAGTCTTCGCTGCCGCTCTTGTTGCCGCTCTTGACGGCATGCTGACTGTTGCATAAGCATTCGGGTCGCGCACGACCTTGGTCTTTTTCTTTTTGCTAGGCATTCTTGAAAATTAGAGCCGAGGTGAATGCAGAAGGAATCGGAACAGTGAAGCAAGGAGCAATCATCGTCGCTTAACACCACTGCGGCTGGCTTTGGCCGCAAACACATCAAGCCACTGATCAAGAGAATCAACTCGGATCAGAGCTGCTGTTGACACTAGGACTAAGCTTGATTCCTGCGCAACTTCCGCATTGGTTTTCGCTCGGCTTCCCCTGTACTTATTCGATGACTGAACCTAATTCCTCTCCATTCTCAGAGACCAATGCACCGCTGCCAGAGGAGCAGCTGAACAGTAGTGGCCCACCCAGCAGGATAGTGGACTTTGCAGCCTTCGAACACCAGAAGGAAAACATCCAGCCGCTTCGCCGCGGCCGCGCAGCCAGTACTCTCGCCATGCTTTATGGCACTCCTATGCTAACAGCAGATGAGGAAAACACCAATCCTGAGCCCCTAAACAGCATGGCCCGGCAGAGCTTGCAGCCTGCACGACCCTGGGTTCTGAGCCGCCACAGCAGCAGGCTGCAGAGCAGCACAACAGCCCGTCAGAGATTAAGGTGACTGGAAGGTTGCAGGCCCAGAATGCGCAGTTTCAGTCTGAAATTGCTGCGATTGATCCGGTCGAAACCGAGGATCCGCTAGATGTGTACTATCGGTATGTCCAGTGGCTGTTCGAGGTGTTTCCGCAGGCATCTGGCCACCAGGCAATCATAAAGCTGGTGGAGACCCCACTGACTCTATTCCGCGGCCAGGAGCGGTATCGCAATGATGCGCGGTACGTGAAGATGTGGCTATGGTATACCGGACTGATTCATGACGGCCAAGAAGCAGTGTTCCAATACCTGCTCTCTAACAAAATTGGCGATTCGCTAGCAGTCTTGTACGAGGAGTATGCAAAGCTTTTGGAGTCTCGAGGGAAAACCCCTCGTGCGGACAAGATTTTCCAGCTGGGCATTGCGCGAAAGGCACAGCCGTTAGCTCGGCTTGAGCGAAGGCATGTTGAGTTTCAGCGCAGGGTTATGGCGCGCACCATGCAGAATATTGAGCGGGAACAGCACCAACAGCACCAACAGCAGAGTGGACGGAGCATTACTGGCAGCCATGGAAACGCGGAGCGCACGATGCTTGGAACAAAACGATCCAGTCGGGCTACACGGTCTGTTGCCGCAAATACTCTATCTGCATCGCATCGCGGCCTACCAGACCAGCAACCAGCAACAGCAGCGGAACACAACTCTACGCCCAAATTCGCGAATTGCAGTGTTCTCCGATCCAGGCGGTAGCCATGCAGGTTCTATGTCGGCTAACAGCGAAAACAGCCACAGCGATGACGCGACGCCTTGGCGCGATGTTGGTTCAGATGAGTGGCGACGCAAGGAGAATATGCCTGAGGCAACCAGTTGGCGCGGACAGACATTGGAACAGCGCCGGACTCTGAGGGATGGTACACTTGGAACGCCAGCGATTGAAAAGTTCGCTGTGTTTTGCGACGACACTGGCGATGCCTTTTCCGCTGCATCGGCACAGATATTAGATACGACAGAGCCTGTGGGCTGTGTCAGCTCAGCCCTCACCCCCGGCGTAGCCGTAGCCAAGCGGTGCATACGACGGTTGAGAATCTACTCAGCTCATTTGACAATTTGGATACACCGTCAACAAACAGGACTCGGCACATGGTAAAGGGCAAATACAAACAACTGGCTGGAAAGAACCCAGAAAGGATGGTAATGCCTGCCGATATGTTGTTTCCACATGGTGGCGATGTGCCACAATGCGTGGAGGAAGCCCGCGCGCAGCTAGCCAGATATGCGTTTGATTACGAGGCGTGGCATGAGGATGAACAGCGGAAACTGAAGGCGATAGAAGCGGAGCGCGTGGCAGTATCTACTACAAAATTGGGACGCGAGGCTTTACAGCGTAGCAATATCCCGCTGAACGATGACGACTATAATGATGGCGAGGACGACGAGGACGACGAGGACGATGGTATCGCAGATGAGTCGGCCTCGCCATCATTGCCCGGAAAGCGGAAGGCTGCGGCATCTTCTCCAACAATCAATACCCGTGCAGCCCAGGAAGGTATGTTGGAGATTTGGAACGACATGTCGGACTCGGACTCGGACTCGGAGAGCCTGCAAGGGCTGCAGCCTAAGACCAAATTGAGAAAAATATCCAGCGTGGTTGACGACGACTACCAGTTCACCATGGGGCCAGTTGCACCGAACATCATGCCAGAGGGCCTTGCAGAGAAGCCGGCTGTGATCCCAAGCTCGACGCGCTCGACACGCTTTAGGTCATTCCAGGACAATGCTGATGCCAGCTCGCGCATAGCAAAAGACGAAAATGACCCACCGACACTGATGCTGAAGGGAGTGCACTCGTTCACTCAGCCGGATCTGATGAGCCCAAAGACGAAGGCCACACCTTTGGCTGCGCGCAGTCAGTCACGGCCGTTGTCGGGTGCTGCTACAGTTGGTGTGGTTCGTCGAAGCCAGCCCCACTTTAGGACGAGTAGCGTGGATGAAGGTAGTGCACCGCTAATTTCAAAAACCCCAATAGCGCAACGGGTATCTGTGTTCAAAGATAGTTCGCCCCTTCACCCGTCGCTATCGCCGATTCTTGACTCAGACCCCTCTCCTCTTTTTGTGTCATCAGCAGATGCAGCATCCACACCAGCCCCGCTTGGAAAAAGATTCGCTGTGTTTTCGGATTCGCCATCGGCTGTCAGCGATGTTGTAGATGCAAACAATGCTGATGTGCACCAGGATGTGTACGGATCAAAGGACAAGCCCAGCGGCTTATACTACTCAACACCAGCACACAGCCGCGCGCGTTTTGTTGGTAGGAGCAGTTTACTTACCCCCGCACAGAGGCCTGCCTCGAATTCAGCTTATCCACAAACCCCTGGACATACTGCCAATGCATCAGGCTATCTGTCAGGCAGTGGCGCTGAGCTGACGGGAGTCACCGGATTCACAGGGCTGTCATCGATTGGCAGCTCCACAGCGCTGCTGCTTCGTGGAGGGCTTGATATAGAGAGCGAGAGGGATGCTGATGCTGGTAACAATCACACCGACGACGATGAGCAGCACTCCGAGAACCCTGTGGCACATACACCCGTGCGCAAGCGCCTGTCAATAGCCGTCAGAGATCTGGGGAACATCACGCCACGGTTCCCCAAATCGCCTACTGATGCCAACAGCCATTTCATGGGTCTTGATGATGATGACGATGAAGATGAAGATGAAGATGGCGAGGACGACGAAGATGAGGAGCCACATACTGAAAATATTGGCGAGTTTGGCAATTTGGACAGTCAAATGCATGAGCTTCAAGCGGAGCTTTGTGGCAGTCGGTTTGCACAACCTAGCACACCTGCCCAACAGCAGGAGCGCCCGTTTAGCGTGTTCCGGGACTAGAGTTTCAGTTCACTTATATTTGCACAACCGAATGGCTAACACTACACCGACTGTATCTTCTAGTGGAAACCAATATACATGTACTAGAAATACTCTGCTCGTGATGCGAGCTCGGCTGCTAGTCAGCATGGGTTGATACGTCGATAAGAGCATCACGGCGAACCGATCATTTGAACGTGTTGGATGGTTGTTGGTGCAATAGCGATCATGGATATCTCCCATACCGATTGCCTGCTCAGCGCAGGCGCTTCAGCGCTGGTTCGCTGCTGCTAGCAGCAGAATCGCCTGCTGCTGCTGCGCGCCTCTTGCGCGGGTTCTTTGTTGCAGGGGTGGTGCCAGAAGCACCGGCAGCAATGGCCATAGAACGACAGAACCGTTCAGGAATACTGCCTGAATCACAGAGTGACTTGAAAACGAGTCTGAAGTCTAGAACTGCTGTAGCGGCCTCTGCTTCATCTGATGGCATCTTCGCTGCTTTGCGTGCAGCCTTCTTGGCCAATTTTTCGCCCTTTTCTGCTGCTTTCCTTGTCTCTGCCATTGCCCTCTTTGCTGCGTTGATCTCTGTAACCTGCTCGCGTGTTTTCGAAATAAACACCTGCTTGATTATTTGCTTGCCTCTGCGGACATCATGGATCCCAGGCCATATGTGCTTAGACAAGCAAATAATCAAGCAGGTGTTTATTTCGAAAACATGCGAGCAGGTTACAGAGATCAACGCAGCAAAGAGGGCAATGGCAGAGACAAGGAAAGCAGCAGAAAAGGGCGAAAAATTGGCCAAGAAGGCTGCACGCAAAGCAGCGAAGATGCCATCAGATGAAGCAGAGGCCGCTGCAGCAACTGCAGCAACTTGAAGTAAACTGAGGCATTATACGTGAAGCTTTATAAATAAGAAATGAGAAAATGCTAAGCGGCTAAACCGATAAAAAAAGAAAAAGAAAAAGAAAAAGAAAAGTACTTTCAGTGAGAAGTTCAGAGTCACATAGTTGGTGAGTTGGCGAGTCAGGATTTTTCTCACACAGTGACTTGTCGATTTAGGACTAACTGTGTAGTCAATCAGCTAGTGTCCAGCACAACTGCAGCAGTAGCGGCTGATTCACTTGCTGCATCGGCGGCGGCAGTAGACACTGTTTCAGCACTTAACAATGTATATGCGCTAGCATTACCAGTCTGTGCACACGACCCGGCCCAAGGGATTGCACAATCTGTGTGGGATGTGTGGGGCCGGGTCGCAGATCTAACATCAAAGCCATCTAAGGCGCATGGTGATAGAAAATTCCATGGAATGGCGACAACAGATGGTGTATTGATATGCATTTTGTTGTAAAACAAAGTGTCCAAGGCTGGTGGTGCAGTAGATGCTGATGCTGTGGGAGGCAATGCTACAGGCGATGCTGTGGGAGGCAATGCTGTGGGAAGCGATGCTGCGGGAGGCAATGCTGTGGGAAGCGATGCTGCGGGAGGCAATGCTACAGGCGATGCTGCGGGAGGCAATGCTGCAGCTGACTGTTGCTATATCCACCAGATTCCACAGCCAGAGCTGCAGAATCTGAAAGGTCGCTGTGTATTCATCGATCCTGGTCGGAGCGATTTACTGTATATGATGCACGAAAATAGCAGCAATGGG